GCGGCGCCGCACAGTTTCGTGGCGCTCTGGGCGCCCCTATTCCTGCTGCGCTCCGCCCTGGCCGACTTCAGCCTGGACAACGAGGTGCACTCGAGCTTCATCCACCGGCGCCTCCGCAGCCAGGAGCGGCGGGAGATGCAGCGCGAGATCCTCTCCATCTTGGGCTTGCCCCATCGCCCGCGCCCCCACCTCCAGGGCAAGCACAACTCGGCGCCCATGTTCATGCTGGACCTGTACAATGCCATGGCGGTGGAGGAGGGCGGCGGGCCCGACGGCCAGGGCTTCTCCTATCCCTACAAGGCCGTCTTCAGTACCCAGGGCCCCCCTCTGGCCAGCCTGCAAGATAGCCACTTTCTCACCGACGCCGACATGGTCATGAGCTTCGTCAACCTCGGTGAGTGGGGGCAGGAGGGAGGGGGTGCGCGTCTCTTTCAGGGGCGCTTTGGGACAGGGAGGGGGCCTCTTCTTACATCCAGCCCGCCCATCTTTTCACTCCTGGCCGTTTGTGAAACCGCGGTGCCTGCCCGAGGGATTCCCATCTCCGGCCCAGTGGACCCCAAGCTGTGTGCGCCTCCAGGTAGGGCTCAGCTGGCCTGTGGGGGTTATTGGGAGGGAGGGACCCGTCTGACGCCCCCTCCGTGTTAGGCCGCCAGCTGCATCTCTGAGGCTAAAGGCGCCGGCTGGCCGCGGCTCAGTTCAAAGCGCGGCGCTCGGTCATGTGAGCTGTCCCGGGCCAGCGCGGCCCGCGCTACCTGGATTTAAAGGGCCCCCTTCTCGGTGAAGTTGTCTTCCCGCCTTTCCTTGGCCCCCTCTCGGCCTTGCCTCTCCCTGGCATCGCGGGCGTCGCATTCCCTTACCCGCCCTAGCAAATCCTACCTGTCACCTCGCAGTGCGCACCCCTTAGCTTGCTGCGCAACTGGAGCTGCTGGGGCCCCCCCGCCCTGCTGCCGGGCGTCCCCATTTCTCTCGGCTGTTTTGGCTGGAGCTGGGGAAGAAACGTTGCCATTGCGAGCTTTCTATTTTAAATATTTAATGATAGGTCCCGGTCGGGCAGAATCCATTTTCAGCGTTTATCACGTGTGGTGCGCAAACCACCAGTTTTGGCGATTGGGTGGTTGGGGATCTCCGAGCAGACGTCGCCGGGGGCGGTTGGGAGACCCGGTTCCGGACTGGAGCCGTGACTATCCCGGGGACGAGAGGCTGGGACAGCGGCGGGGGCCGGCTAGCTTCCCCTCCATCCGTGCGCGCACATTCACTAGACTTGCTCAAACTGACCCCCGGCAGCGCGCTGCAGGGCTGATGATCAAATATTTGGTTTTCGAGATAGCACTCCCCGATAGCGCTGTTTCCTGAGCCGCTTTCATTTACTTGTGTAACTTGCTGCGAAAACCCGAACCAAGTCAAGACAGCAAACTCACGCCCACGGGCGCTGTGTCAACATGGAAATAATGATACTGAAGCCTCACGCTGGGCACCTGGGGCGTGGATGGGGGGGCGCGGGGAAGCGCGTGTCCGCCTTGATGGTTCCCGCTCCAGATAAGGTCCCTGGATTTCCCGGGAAGCCATTGTCTGTCCTTAATAATAGCCAAGATCCAATAGTGAAACGAGCTTCAGAGAGCAAGGGGTGGGAGGTTTAGATGCCAAAATAACTTCAAGCAAGTTTAAATTATACTGAGCAGCCAGTTAAGAATGAGGCAGCTCCATATGTCCTGATTTAGAACAGTCTCCAAGATGTACGAGGTGGAAACAAGCAAGGTGCAGATGAGCATGGCTACATGTGTGCTTGTACATCATCCGTGTCCCCCTGAAAGAAGACACCAGGGACTGAGAAGAGATTTTACTGGGGGGGGGGGGGTGTGCCCCACAACAGTCAGTGCTGATTGTGTGTGTGGCAGGGGGGGGGGGGGGGTCACAGGTGGGGCTGGCTTAGGGAGTGTGAGCTAGGGTCTGAATTTTCTATGTCTGCACTTTTGTGCTTTTTGTTTTCAGTGTGTATTTATTACCTATACCAAAAACTAAAGAACTCCAAATACATACACATAAGTAAGTTAATGAACATGGAGCTCTGTAGCTCTCCTGAAGCCTAGGGTTAACCAGGGCCCTTTCTCTGGTGGGGGATTTATAGCATCTTCCATTCTGTTGGGTACCGGTGACTCCCACTGAATTCAGCAGGTCCCAGCGCTGCCTTCAGAGCAGGCTGGGATTATTACCAGTGCAAAAAGTGCCCTGATGCTTATTCACCAGCAGCGTTGCCAGACCCTGGGGCTCCCGGCACCCCAGAGAAGGGACAGATTGCTAACTGGGTGCCTCTGGGAACTTTGGGGCGAGGCTGTTTGCTCCCCCCAAGACAGAGCAAGCAAGCTGGGGCTTGTTTGGGAAGGCCACAGCTGGGTGGTTTTCCTCCTTTGGCTGTACACACACCTTTCAATCCATTTCTTTCATCTTGAAAGGACAAAGACTGGCTTGTCTGAGCCTCTTAATCAGTCAGGCTGGCTTTGGGCTTTGTCGGTCGGTCCTGACTTTCTCAGGTCTAGCTTTCTGGAACATCACTCCAAATTAGATGGCAGAGTGGCTTTTGACAGAGCGCACTGACCTTGTTTTCTTTTTCTCTCTGTCCATAAACTGGAGGTAATTAGTTAGGTAAAGACCTGGACTTCAGTTTGGCAAGACCCTGCCCGTAGATGCCTGTAAGGTTGGCTTTTAATTTCTGCTCAGCACAGCACAGGAATAAACCTTCTGTCCCTTCTATTCTGCCCGGGCTCGGAATTTCTCCATAGGAGGGATTTGGGGGTGGCAGGAGGGTTGGAGAGTGTTAGGGGGGAGGTGTAGGAGGCTTCTCTGGACCCTGAGTGTGCTGAGAAAGCACACTGTTTTTCCTTGGATTGCAAATCATGTTGATCTGTACTATACGAAGTTCTCTAAAGGCGAGTTTATTTTCACATCTTATCTAGGAGTGAGAAAATATCACTTGTTCATATCAAACCATTACTCATTATTATGGGGGGGCTTTGGGGGGCCATTGATGAAGATCTTGTGGGGAGGCTGACTTCTTCCGCTGCCCCTCCCCCCTACTGCATACCTCTGCTGTCCTGCAGGCAGGCGTGCGTGGGGGACCCCTGCCTGAATTCTGAAGGCTTTTGCAGACTTAGTGTGTTTATTCTTCCTTCTGTATGTAGCCAAATTGCTTTTTGTTCCTATATGTCGTTCTCCTCAGAATTCAAGCTTTTTGCCAGGCTGAGCGGGATCTAAAGTAGAGGGGAATTTATGACAAAACCAGGTGCTGGGAATGAGGACTTCAGACTGCACCTTATGACAAAGACCAGCCTGTACAATAAAGCTCCATGCAATCCTAGCTGAGCTGCCTGAGTGAGGCTCATATCTTCCTAGCCGGGGCCCCTTAAGTTCAATGGCAAGATTTGTAAACTGGTTTGGATTAACAAGCCCCCGACTCCTTTGTGTAGACTTAATTTTGGAATTCAAAACAGGCTACCCTCTATTAAATAGTCCCCAGGTGATGGTGATTCTGCAGACTGAATCCAGCAATAGTCCCTCACTGTTCGTCCTTTGGAAAAACCCAGCAGCTGTTTGGAATCTTCTAAAAAAGCCGGCTGGCATTAGGGGTGTGCGACTTGTGTTTATCTCTGGTCCAGGTTATGAAAGAATGAAATTTGTTTAAATTTTGAAGCTAAATTAAAAAAAGAGAAAGTTGGAATCCTATCATTGTTGGAGTCAGCGTATAAAAGTGGCTTTTGTTAATGTAGCCGGGGAGAAGGCCGTGTGGTTTGATTCTAGCTTTATACCATCTGGCTATCCTTTTTGTTGACAAGTGTTTGGCATTAAGATCTCTCCTTTTGCCCCTTAAGAACAGGCCCTACCACTGTAGAGTATTAGAAAAAGATTCTGTTACAGTTTAAAAATTTCCTTCAGGGAGTGCTTTGCGAAGGGAGCGTGGACTGCAGGCATTTGCAGCTGTAACCTGGCTTGTGTTAAAATTTGGAAGGGGCTGTTCCACATTCCAGCACTCGGAGCGCCGGCCCTCACTGGTAAGCAGCCAAAGGTTAATATAGATGTCACAAGGCTCCCCCTTCTTTTTTTCTTTCTGCAGAGTGCCTTTGCTATAGGAGTGCACCAACAGCTGTGTTTTTAGTAACCCTTTCGAAATCACTTCTTTTAAATCTCATTTTCCTGCTTATATAAATCAGATTCCCCCACCCCGCCACTTTTCCCAAGAATATATGTGACCCAAATTTGAACTTTTTTGATCTTCTATGTATTTCCTTTCTGGAATCAAGGCAGGTGAAGGCCGAGCCCTGGTTTCCAGCTTGGGTGGCTATTTTTGATTCTTATTCCAGGGTCGTCATTTGGTTGTGGTCCCTATCAGAGAGGTAAGGGAGGTGGCCCAGATAAAAATCAATTTTAGGGCAGCAGAGAGGGAGGATTCTTCCAATTCATAGAAGAAACTGCTTCTGAGATGTAGGTCTTGCGAACTACGGATAGGGGCCTTACCTTGGCATAGTAGGCTATTAAGCCTTTGCCGAGATAAACACAGCTGGTATACGATCCCCTGACCACCAGAATGCCTGTGATGTGAGCGAATATCACATGTCCGCTGAACTCGGAGACAAGTGATGACTTCATTCCAGGGAGAGTCCCATCTAAGTTGATTGATCATCCCTATCGCTTTAATATACTCCTCCCCCCATTTTGGTAAGGTCATATTTGGCCCATTGCAAGAATCAGAGTGTCCTAACGCTGCCCTGTCTCCACCCTTCTCCAGCCTGCCCATCCTTCTAACCAGCTAAATCATCTGAATGGTGAGCCCTTTGCACCAAGCTGCTGGCCACGGTAACTTTTTCCCGCTCACTCTTTAGGCTTAGCTGGCGGCTGTTGATGCGCTGGTTTATTGGCAGGCCGCTGCAAACGCTTCGCCTTAATGCACTCTGGCAGTGTCACCGAGGTTAGGGCACAGGCAGGGATATGTGGGACCTGTCATGTTATTGTCAGAAGGAATGTGAGGATTAGCCTTTACAGCATAGTGGTGGGAGGGTGCTGCAGCTGTGTACACTTATTATAAAAGATTTAAATCCCACTGGTAAAATCAATATATTGAATTGCACAACCCTCTGCTTTTAATTAGCTTAAATCAAATGCGCCGTTGCCATTTTGCCTCCTCTTGCCTTCATAGGGTGAGGAAATACCAATATTTACATAGAAACTGTTAATTTGTGGTGGAAATGATAACACATTTAGCTTTACACACTCCAGTTGCTCCAAGTTGATGGGTCCCAGATCAACGTGGACTTGAGGGGTGACGTCACCAGGATGGGGGAGCGGGGAGACCTTAAGAGTGTTGCTTGGACTGGATGTCAGTGTGCAGGTGGGCATGTCTGTGGT